ATTTGCTTTGATTATTTGCAAGAATAAAATATACTTCAATTCTTCCGTCTCACAAAGTCATTATTTTGATATTTATAAAATTTAAGGAAGAAATATTTTTTTGTTGATTTTTCTAAATTACCCTTGATATGTTGCGTAAAAATATAATCTGATGAATAAATTATTAGTTAATACTCCGTATGTATAATTAATGTGATACGTAAGATAAGAATGAGTTGTGACAAAAGTAATTTTTTTAATAGAAAGAAAAAAGGGATTGTGGGACACAAAAAAAGAGAAAGAGTTTATGTAAGAGGGGGAGTATATAGATGTTACGAGGTAGCCTAACTAGAACCCTTCAATAATAGAGAGTACATACATAATCTTGGCTCAAACATAAATAATTTGCTAAGACCGTGTACTCTTCACCCGATCTCTTCAACTTATATTTTTTATTTGTTTTTATTAGAACTGAGTCGTATCAGAAACAACTTTAAATGTAAATATAAAATCAGATTAGATTAGAATTTAATCAATTAAACCAGATCATAATCAATCGGATAAACTTAAAAGAAGAAGCCCTAAATTACCGTTACCATTAAGGTGAGATGAGGAATTGGGTTGGTACAAAGAGAGGTAAAAATGGTCTAATTTTGGAACAAAACATACAATGTTGATGTCAAAATAACCAAACGGATTCTACGGGCGAAAAATGCACGCTTTATGGAGAAAGTTAAGGATCCAAAATGGAATTAGTATGATGACTAGGTCAGACCAATTAATTAATTACCACTTAACTAATGTTTTAAAACAACATTATATTATTATTATTACGTAAAGACTTCATTATATTCCCCTTTTAGTATTTTTTTTTTATATCGGCTATAATCAGGGGCGGAGGAGAGGGGGGGCTGACAGGGCAAGTGCCCCCCGGCGAAGTAGTGGTTACCGGCGATTTGAGTTATCCGGCGATGAAGGTGCCCTGCCAACTGGCAAGTCGAAGAAGATGACGGATTGACGATTGACCAAGTGACCGTCCCCTGGCTTACTTTCGGTTTTTAAAAGAAAACGCAATACGACGTCGTTTTAGGTTAGGGTTAGATAAAAATAAAAAAAATACGGAGTAAATCTTAAGACTCCTCGGCTCTGTTTCTTCTCCAGTTCCGCCTCCTCGCTGCTTAGTCTCTGTTTCTTACGCAGTTCTGCCTCGGTGCCTCCTTTGGTGCTTCAGCTTTTCCGCCTCTTTGCAATTTTCTCTCTTTCTCGTTCTCTCCTTCTTCGACACCTAGCCAGAAGTCAGATGAGGAATCTCCCATCGGCTATGCTTACTCCTTTTAGGTTAGTAAGGTTAAGGTGTTTTTTTGTTTTAATTTTTAAAATTATTCCGTCAATTTTACTTTGTGTTTGTTTAAACTTTTAAGGCTTTTAGATTTGTACCAAAAAATGCTTTTAGCTTGTGATTTGTGACTTCAATACATTATGTATTAAAAAAAAGTACTCCCCTGTTATCAAAAACACTTTCTCTTGCATTTTTTTCAATTTCAACAAAACACTCTCACTTTCTATTGAAAAACAACTTTTACTCTTACTTTTTCATACCCTACCTACTTATTGATTTGTTTTTTAGAGATTATTATTAATCTATAAATCTATAGTATATCTAATTACTTTGATTGGAATTCAATTAATGATATTGTTATTTGATTAAGAATGATTCTATATACTTTTGAACAAATTCGTTACTACGTAGATGACAAATGACCAAAATCTTATTCAAGAAACAAAAGTTAGTACTTCTTTAGGGTATGATTAATAATAATGACATTTTATTGTTATATTTTTGTAAATGATTTTAATCTTTGAGATACAATTTATTATTGATTTATCAGTTTATATTATAGTTAAAAATTGGGAGCAGTGCCTTGGACTCCCCCGACCCCGAGTGTGCCCCCCACTAGTGACCTCCTGGCTCCGCCACTGGCTATAATTACGTAATCACTTCCCATTACTACAAATCTGCTACCACGTTGATTATATGACCGAAGATTTCTCGATTTTTCGATAATGTTTCATATCAATGTCTCATGTAATTTCTTTGGAATTTAGGTTTTGTTTTTTAGTTGGAAAAATGAAGCTAAATGTTGAAAAAAACAAGAAGTAGAAAAAAAGAAGAAAGAATTATAAGAAATTGAGAAAAGCTATAAAAATGAAAAAAATCAGAAAAAGTTTAAAAATTGTTTTAAAAATTAAGTCTTTATCATTTTTCATGATACAGATGAAATTTAGAAGCGCTAAAAATATAATTGATGGATAAAAAATTAAGATTTTCGTTCGAAAACAATACTTAAAATTTTTTTGGTACAAAAGTATTTGTAATTAACATTGCCTCTTGTATATAAATTTTTTACGATGTAGCTTAACTTTGAAAGCGGTTAAACTTAAAAGTTAAAACTATAATATTTTTAAAATGCTAAAATATGATGTGAAATTAATGTGGAACGGAGAATCTCAATCGAACTTATATTTTAAATGAAATTGATAAATTTGAAACAGAATTCATCGGGGAGAGATCAATTTGGTCGTCGACAACAAAACATATCATGGATCTAGTTATTCCTTAAATTACTTCATTGGTAGAAATGTTGATGGAATCTGTTAGAATAATTTTAGGTGAATTACTTACTCCTATATGCCTTTGTTTCGGAACAACATTTTTGATTAGTGTTAGCATTTATGATAAAATTTTAATGGTATAAATTAATTCTGAAAATGTCAACGCTAAAGGCTGATATCGGATCGTCTTTTCAAAATGCAAATCTCTAATACTGATGCCAAACGAGGCCTATGAGTATATGACCCATTTTTGAATTTTAATACTTTAGAAAATTTATTTGAAATGATCTCAATTTCAAATAAATTGCACTCCCAAGTTATTTGAAAATTTACCGGGGGTTGGGGATAAAAACTGTTAATTTTACGAACGGGCACAGGGACACTCCCGAGTTATCTCAATGTCCCCATGTCACGGTAACTAAGAGGTATTATCATATCTAAAAAAAGCTCACCAAACAATCATTTATAAACAATTTTCAAAGGTGAAGGGAATATAGATTTCATCAAGAGTATAGTCCATATATCATCTATTATGATGTGCTCTTATGTCCTAAAATAATGTTTTCATTTCATTTTTCATAGCATGTGATGTAATAGTTTGATCATTAATAACTATATCTATACATTAATTCTTTTTATTAAAAATATGATATTTCAAAATTTTATTACAAGGCAAATCAAATTATACTAAATTTACAATGAAAGCAATTCCCGAGAAATTGCTTCTCAATGTCATGCATGATCCGAGGACCACACGACACCTTTTTCATAAAATTGATGTTTCTTACTATACACTTCTTATCCCTTCTAACTTCTCCGATAAACCTCCTCTCTCCCTTTTTAATTGCATCTTCCAAATTTATTTGACTTGAAACCAAAATCTTGTCTCAAAAATCAAATAAACATGGTGGTGTAATTGAAGAGAATGAAGGTAAGTTTGGATTGGGGTATGTAGGGATTAGGTGGTACGAACTATCAACTTTATGAATGAGACACCGTATAGGTCTTTGGGTCATCCCATTACATTGACAATTGATACGGACTACGTATCGGATAGGGAAGACTCAGAGCGTCTCCGAGCTCTTGAAAATATGGGACGAGGAAGAAGAAGAAGAATTGAAGCGAAGAGGGAATCGGCGAACCAAGAGGGGAGAAGGAATTAGGGTTTTGATTTGTTTATTGATTGCTTAACTCTAAATGGGGTTACATCTCTTTATATAGGGAAGAAGCTAAGGAAACCCTAACGCTAACCTGGCGGTTCAATAAAAGCGACGAGAAAAAAAACTATATAGAAACCTCGAAGAAGCTTATAATTTTGCTCACCTAATAAAGTAGGGAGCATATCATTTTGAGACAAAAAGTACCGTAGTAGTGGTATTTTGTAGCATAGAGTATCACGGAGTACTTATTTATCTTTCACAAAATAAAATAGGGAGCATTCAAGCAGCCCGGTTGTACAAGGCCCAAATTTGCATAGGATCGGCCCGGCAATCTTATTAATTGTTGCAGTTCAATAATGGTTTTATTACTAAGGACATAAATTCTCAATATGATTTTATTTGGGATCAATTTTTATTAATGCTTTATTTAGTGTATGATTTTTCATATTAATCTCTAATTTTAAAATATTATATGCGTAGTTCTCAATTTCTTAAAGATATTTCATAATCAATTATTTGGAGACTTTTGAAAACATATATTTAAACATATTTAGAGAATGTTTGATACTGTGTTGCTTTTCAGAATTTACTGCTGCTTTAAGTGGTAATCATTTTTTTTATTTGGCATACCTACTTATGCTTTTCTTTACTAATCCCTTCGTCCACCTAAGATCTTCTCATTGCGCGTTACAAGGTTTGATAGACTTTATTTTCAATTTAATTTATTTGAATCTAGAGATAAAATTTTAATATAAAGTCTATGTAGTAATAAACTACACGAAAAGTTCTACAAAACTACAGGTGACAACAATATATTATTTTGACCCTGTGAATAGTGTCTATGGTGGACAAATGGAGTATTATTTTGTACATAAAACATCATTTCGGAGAAGTAAATATATAGTGTTTGAAAATCACTTTACTCACAAATTAATCACTCTCAAATACCCTCTTAGCCTAAAAATCTAATTATGGAATAACTTTAAAAATTGAGTACCACAAATTTAATATTTTAGAGTTAAAGACTAAATATGAAAAAAAATTATTTGTACTAAGTGGTCATTTATGGAATTCACTCAACTTTAAAAAACTTTTAATGATATAATACCCCTATCTAGAGAAGATTAACATAATTTCAATTTTTTAGTCAAAGTGCACAACACTTTGATCTCAAATTGTTGAAAATGTATATTTATTTATAATATAAATTTGGTTAATTTTAAAATATATGTATGGATGCATCAAGTATTCGGAACATTTAATTTATTTAAAGTTTTATTTAATTTATGGTTAAATCATATACATATATACTCCCTAGTCCGTACAACTTACGCCGAAATGAAAGAGGCGATACGGCGTATGACGCGTTTGGCATTCTCAGAATCCGGATTTAAAACCTGAAAGCAATGTCCTTCACCCTCAACATCCAAAATGTCGATTTTGCCCTTCCACCCACTCTTCCTCACCGCGCCCGCATACCGGACTCCGATCTCCCTCAGATCGTCTTTCTCTGCAACGCAAACCAGAATCTTCGGACACCGATCTAATCCAGACAGGCTCGGAGCATTCTCCGCCGTCGGATTTATCATCGGGCTGTCGATTCCTCCCTCCGCCGCTGGATACACGAGATCCCAGGTTTTACTCAGCCGGCTCCGCTTCCCGCCCTTCTCCGTTGATCCCCAGAAGTACGGGAAGCAGAGTATCCCTCCCGCGAGCGCAGGGATGCCCTGGTTTCCGGCTCTCATGGCGACGTTGTGTACGATGTTTCCGCCGGCGCTATCGCCGGCGAGGAAGATTCTCCCGAAGTCGCCGTGGTCAACTAACCACGAGTCCAATGCCGGTCCTGAAATTTAAACGCAGGCCACAAAATTTTTAAATTAATGTATTTAAAAATTCGTGTAAAATTTAAAAAAAAAATCATTTCCTCCGTCCACAAATAAACTTTCCGTTACGCATTACGATATTTTGACTGAAATTCAAATCATTTTATATAAAAAATGGTTTAAAATTTAAAAATAAAAATTACATACTCCGTATTAAAAAACTACTCCCTCCGTCCCACAAAAAAATTCTCATTTTGACCATAAATTGGTCAAACAGTTACACACTTTGACCATAAATTAAATATAATCTAAATAAAGAAATGCTAAAAAAATTTGAATTATCAAAACTAGATCCTAAGATGAATCCAATGATATTAAATTTATTTTATAATTCAATATACCTTTTTCACAATTTGTAGTCAAAGCGTGTAAATATTTGACTAAACATAGTGAATAAAGTTTGACCCTGTTAATAATGAACAAGAATTTTATTTGTGGGCGGAAGGAGTATATTTTAAAGGGCTAATGGCACATAGACACTTTGTAAAACATACTTCGTAATATATTCATTTTAGGAACGGTGAGGTTCTAGTGACACTCACGTGTGGTAACACTAGCGGTGCCACTGTCATTTTGAGACATATCCAGTGCTCCGTTCGTAAAATTGACGATTCCTACCTCCCTAATCCACCCCCTGAACTCCTCACCCTACCCCCAGCCCTGCACCCCCACCCCAACCACGCCGTAAGCCCCCCACAAAATGTGTGGCTATTATGCAATGCATAATAGCGACACATTTTGTGGGGGGCTTACGACGGGATTGGGATGGGGGTGCAGGGCCGGGGGTAGGGTGGGGGGTTTAGGGGTGGGTTAGGGAGGTGTGAAACGTCAATTTTACTAACAGAACACTGGAGGTGTCTCAAAATAACAGTAGCACCGGAGTGTCATCGTCATCTGGTGTCACTAGAATCCCACCGTTTTAGGAAAATTTATTTAAACAGTATTAAAATATAATGACTTTTTAATATAGTACGGAGAACCATATGATTCTATTTCCCAATATAGTATTACGGGTCAATGTGGATTGATCATTGTTAATGTAAATGTCCACCACCACTAGACATTGTTAAAACTAGATGTTCACCATCACTGGACATTGTTCTCGTCACTAGACATTATTTTAAATGCTCCGTACTATTTAAGAAATAAAAAAATTTAAGCACTAATTGGGAAATGAGGTTTGCAAATGCCAAAATTTTAGCATTAGTGCAAACTTCATTCATTTTGAAACGTAGTTTGCAAATGCCAAAATTTTGTACTCTCTCCGTCCTAAAACCATCTTCTAGTTTGTGTTTACAAGATTTGACTGAATTTATTTTGAATTCAATTTATTTGTTTATAGGTCTAAATTAAAAAATAAAATTTACATATTTAAAAACCATATTAAAAGTTCTACAAAATGAGAGATGACAAGACTATATTATTTTATCAAATAAGTAGCGAAAATAGATAAAGAAAGTGATTTAAGTTCGACTATGTGAATAGTAACTAAGAATATAAAGTTTTAGGACGGAGGAAATACATTAATGTAAAGAAATAAATTATTACAGGATTGCATTAAAAGTCTAAAAAGTTGAAATAAAAAATAGGAAGTAATCATTATAATAAATTACTACTCTCTCCGTTCTCAAAAAAATGTTCATATTTTGACTAAGTATAGAATAAAGAAGTGTTAAATTAAAGTTAACATCGAATTTTGTCCTTGATATGAGTAAAAATAAGATGTGATGAATAAATTATCAAAGAAAAGATATGATGTGATAGGTAGAACATGAAAAAACAAAGGTAAAAGTAATTTTTATATAGAAAACGGTGGAAATGGAAAAAATAAAAAAAAGGAATGTCTTTGAGAACGAGAGAGTAAAAAATACGGAGTACTTCAATTTGCCTGTAACTCACTTTGTACAATCTGAGAGACGGGCATGAGTGAGTCTATAACTCCGTTTTGATCGCCGGCGTCGTGTGAGGCGACCCACCGGAGGGCCTCGAAGGCGTCGTCGTAGGCTGCCGGGAGAGGGTGCTCCGGGGCAAGACGATACTCGACGGAGACGGCGACGACGCCGGATTCCAACACGAGGGCGTTCAGGTAGCGGTGGTTGCGGACGGAGAAGGCGGACTCAAGGCAGAACCCCCCGAAGTGGAAGTACACCAAGATGGGGAGCTTCCCGGCGGCCGGCGGTTTCGGCAGGTAGATTCGGGCGGAGACGTTGGCGGAGATCGTGACGTCCTTGGAGGAGACGCCGCCGGTCTCGGAGTCGTCTTCGGACGACGACGGGGCGACGCGCGGGGATGCGAAGAGGCGCTCCACGCGCCCGCCTTTGTAAACTCTGATGAAGGGAGAAAGGTCAACGGCGATTTCTTCGCCAATCATGGCCTTTACGATATGTCTATCTCCAAAGTGCAAGGAAAGATTTTGTGGTTGTGGTTGGGGTTGCACACAATTTATATGCGGTGAAGTGTAAATTATGGTATAATTACCAGAGGAATTTACGTAAATAGCACTAAAACATAATGACTTTTCCTAAATGACACTACATATGTTTTTTTTCTAATGTAGCACTTTTAGTCATTATCAATTAATCATTATTCAAGTAATGTTTGGCATCACTGGTCATTATGGACATTATTAAGTGCTATTTAGGGAAGAAAACAATCTAAGTGTCATTTAGAGAAATGACTTAAGTTTTAGTGCTATTTAGTACAAAAAGTTCTGTATGTACAAAAAGTTATTATAAATAATAAAATTCTCGGTGTTGGGACTCGATACTAGGATAAATGAGCTTAAAATCTTCTCTTTGTACCAAGACTATCCACCCAATTTATTTTCAATAATTTAGACTACTGCGTGTTCTCATTTTGATTTTAAAAAAATTTAAAGAAAGGATATTGTTATATTGATTTTCAAAATATCTTTGATGTTATAAATAAAAAATAAGGTGTGATGGATAAATTATTACGGAGTAGTAAAAAAAGTATGATTTAATAGATAGTATAAGAATTAATAAGGTTAAAATTGGGTTTTTAATAGAAAGCGGAAGAATTTTGTGATACAAGAAAAAGAAAGGAAAAAAATATTTATGGGACAAGAAGAGTATGAAATTTGAATTAAATTTCATTTTATTTTCCAAAATTTAATTAAAATGTTAGAAAATCAAGAGTTATTAAAATTTGGTAATAGTAATAATAATAATTATAGTACTTCTTCATTAATTATGGAGAGTTAGCTTCCTATCACTTAAGTAAGAGAATAAGTTCTATAGTTAAATATATTTTATATTTAAGTATATTTTAAATTTTGTAATTAATTAAAATAATATTAGGTATCTTTCCCAAAAAATAATAATGATAAAATTAGGTATGGTGGGAGAATATATTATATATACAGTTACAAGTACCTCGTATAACACATAATCTCTGTTCATATTTCTCAACTTAATGTCGCTTAATAAGCCTATGCTCGAAATCGAATTGGGATGAATTCTCAAATAATCTTAAAGAATAAATTTCCCGCCATTCAAACAAAAGGAGATGCTCAAAAATCATAAGAAAGTATGTGTGACCAATAAAATTACTTCAACTTTTAAAAATTTTTATATACTTTTTTTTTTATATATATTTGAAAGTTAAATTTATAGAACGAAAAATAGAAACAAATAAGGAAAAGCTCCCTACGTAAGAGCGAAAAAATACAAAAACACTCAAATTAGAGTCTTAAGTCTTTTAAAATCAAAAGAGAAGTTCACACAAACATTGTAAAACTGCCAAACTCGCAACATTGACACACTGCAATTATCATACTATTGCTATCACAATATTATCCGTCTTCGATTACTGACGTTGACCGGTGATCCGCTTGCAGTTGACTGATCACAATATACTACTCCCTCCGTCCCATTTTATAACGCCTGTTTCGGTTTACGATGTTTGACTGAAATTATTTTCAAATCATTTTATATGACAAATGGTATATAGTTAAAAAAATAAAAATTACAAATAAAAATACTACATCAAAAGATCTACAAAACTAGTAGTGACAACAATACTTTATTTTATCAATTTGCTAACGAAAATTGAAAAAGAAAGTGAATAAAGTTTGATCCTGTGAATAGTGAACAGACATTATAATTTGGGACGGAGGGAGTAGTACACTATCATAACTTTTCCATTACATTGTTATTATACTTCTATTTTGATCTTCAAATACTATGAACTCCTATTTTGATGTTTTTATAGTTTTTGTACTCTCAGTGAGATAAATTTATAAATAAATAAATTAATTAACTTCAACACAAGTCTAAACATAGACTTATGTTGATTATAATTAATAATATTGCATTTGTTTTAATGAGGTTGTGCACTTTTATTTTTTTATAATCTCAATAAATTTTTTATCAATAATAAAATAAAAATTATATATATATATATATATATATATATATATATATATATATTAGAATAAAATATTTTTTAAAAAATATATTATAAGTAAATTTTGATTAAAACATTTTTGTAAGAATATGTAATTTTTTTAAAATTAATGATCAAAATTTTAGTGAATTTGAATTTAAAAAAAAACAAAATCAATAATCTCATTTGGACAGAAGTAACAATAATCTTTAGAGTAAATTTCCAAAATGATTCTTTATATTTAGATATATTTTTCCAATTCAGTACTCAATAAGTTCTAATTATCTATATGGTCATTTATAATTCCGATTTATATCTAAGATAGTCTTTCGTAATAATGTTACTCAAATAACGATTAATTAAAAGGTAGTTTGGTAATTCTATCATCTAAATTTAAAGTGTATTCTCAAAATGATTATTTCTATATAACTAATTAAAAAATTTAAACAATACATTTACTATATATAATCCATGAATCATTAAAAACCTATAAAAAATTCAAATCAGATTCACATATTTAATGAGAACAAATCATTTTGGAAAAACACTTCATTAGAAATGATCATTTTAAGAATTATTCTAAAATTAGCTTAAAAAATACTAAAATATCAACTAATTAACCATTATTTGAGTATCATTATTTACGAATGACTACATAGTGATTAAAACTTATATATAGAGGAGCACGTAAGTAATTAAAATTTATAAAAAAACTAATTTGGAAAAACATATTATTTGACCGGTACAAAATATAGAATATTATATCCATAATCCACTCCGATTCTACTCATCCCATGCCCACTCTTATCATAGACTTTGAATCTGTTCCTTTCAACTCATTCTTATTACTTATTATCGTCTTTGTTTTTAAATGAATTACACTTTACGTAAAGCAATGTAAAATTTTCAGTTTTTGAATTTGTTTTATTTAAAGATTGACAAAAAAATAAAAAATAAAATTTACATACTTAAAAATTATATCATAAGAAGTGACAAGATATTTTATTTTATCAAATAATCAATAAAAATATACAAATAAATAAAAAAATTTATGATTTTTAAATAGTGAAAGATGTAAAATATTGTGGAAGGAAGATTGTGTTACTCCTTATTTTCTTTTTTTTGAATCACCACTTTTTTTTTTCAACCGGACACCGTGGAGAGGGGCTAGGGTTTCATCGTCTGACTTCCGAATCAGAGGAGGGGCGAAAAGGCAGCACTCCGCTTCCATCCCGACACGGAGAGAAGGCCCCTGAAGGAGACGAAGTGTCAAAGGCGGTGGCGGCTTCCTGGTTCGGTAGCTTCTGTCCGTAACTTCCTCTGAATATCGTAGTCGTTCGTTTCTATTAGGGTTAATTTCTGCATTTTCGAATATCATTTTTATCAAATTTTCTGACGTTATCGAACCATTTCAATTGGTTGACAGTTGCTAGAGCACGATGGATATTGATCAATTCGAGGGATTGAAGGTTCAAGCTCTACAATGGGTGCACCGAGCTGCGGAGTCGGTGCATCAGATTCCTTTTTTTGAACTATATTTTGCAATTGGGATCTTAGCCATCACTACATTTTGGTTCCTTCTCTTGAGTAAAGTTCTTTTCTCAGCAATCCTCTTTAATAAAATACATTACCTGTTAAATTTGCTTAGGTAGTGTTTGGGAACTGATATTTCATTTCAATTCTTGCATTTCAATTCCAAAATTTGAATTCTTGAATTTCAAATGACAAGGGGAGACATATGGATCTGCAATGGAGCTTTGCAATGAATTAGAGGAATTTGCCTCAAATCAAAATCCCAAATTTTTAAGATTTCCAAACATGGAAATTGAGCCAAATCCGGATTTGAAATCTTAATTCTAGCTCCCAAACATGGTGTTAGAAAAATTGAGTGAATCGATATAAAAATTTGACCCGGATTTTGCCCGAGTTATCAAATTTAAAAATTGGCTAACAGACTGAAACTTAAGGGATAATTCCATGGTTCGAGTTGAGCTCTATATTAGAATGTACGTTAGTAGTTGGGCAGACCATTCACCTTTGGATCATTGGTAGTTTGGTAGACATTTGGACTTTAGTTTCTAGTTTCTGTTGCTGTGTTTGTTGCTTTGGACTGTGGCTTGTGCATGTGTCTTTTTTGTGCATCAAGTCTCGCTCTTAGCGTCCTTATCTCTTAATGTGTTTGTGCTACCGTATCTACTTTGTTTGTGCTTCTGTGTTTGAGCTGAGGACACAATTTATCTGATCTTCTATTTAATTTTTGTTTCACACACCAGTGCCACAATCATGTTGTTTCATTTATTCCTGTTCTGCCCGTACATACAAATATTTAACAGATTTACAAATTATGTTTTGCATTCTTTAAGTTGACCAACCATTTGTTGTTGCTTCATATTTTCCTCTCCTACAGCTCGGTTGAGGAAGCGTGCAGAATGTAATACCATTATACTCACTGGGCTTTGTGGAAGTGGAAAAACTTTTATTTTTCACCAGGTAAGGGCATCTAGATTTTAAAAAGGAGATCTTTTACATGGTAGAAATTATTTGGATGCAATCCCTTGTTTTTAAATATACATTGTTGCCTATACCAGCTTAGAGATGGAACACCCCCGCAACAGGGTACTGTCACCTCAATGGAACCCAATGAAGACACATTTATTCTACACTCTGAGAAAACCAAGGTAACAATCAGTGTAGTTATGTTTGCCCAGTCACCTAATTCTTTATCTCTTTATCCCATTTTATATTTGTGACTTACTCACCTTCTTTGTATTTCGTCTTCAAATCAACATCCCGCATTCTTTCCTCCCAAAAGTTTACCATTCTTTAAGAAGGAATCATTCTGGTTGATATTTTCTTGACTTTTCCAAATTAAGTTCAACCATAATATTTACTTTTTGATTAGTGTTCCAAAAGAAAATGATAAGCTAACCCGGGGGTGGAGGGAGTATTATACACTCCGTATTGTATTTGTATATGTAATTACTTAAACTGCCCCACAGTCTGCCTATGTTCTTTATGCAGTATATTTTAAATTTGATTTTATTTCTTTCTACCTGCTTTTATTCTTCTGTAGGGAGGAAAAATAAGACCTGTTCGTGTTGTTGACGTGCCTGGTCATCCTCGTCTTCGGCCAACACTGGATGGGTTTTTCCCTTTGACAGCTGGGATTGTCTTTGTTGTGGATTCGATAGACTTTTTACCCAACTTGCGTGCTGCCTCAGAGTACTCACAACCCTTTTACTGCTAACTTCATGTTTGGCACAACTGGTTTGGAGTTCATCTTATTTCATTTTTCTCTTTGTGAAGGTATCTCTATGATATCTTGACACACGCACATGTGGTTAAGAGGAAGATTCCAGTACTCCTGCTCTGCAACAAGGTGGACAAGGAAATTACTGCACACACCAAAGAGTTCATAACAAAGCAGCTAGAAAAGGAAATGTGAGATACTCTAGGGCCCCAATTTTTTAAAACTTGTGCAGAGTATTAAACATATCATATATTGATAATGAGTTAAGCTTGAGTACCCCAAGTGTGACCTCAACTCTTGCCCCACCTTTCTCATATACACAGAACAATGTCGATGTGCCTGTGAATAGTCGAGTAGCTGGGGTGAGAGTTGGGGTCACACTTCGGGCACCCCTACCATGATCCATTGATAAATGTAAGCTAAGGTCCAAAGTTCAAAAGTGCAACTCTGTTTCAATTACTTTCAATTACAAATATCATGTTGGGAAAATATTATTATCAATTACTGTATTACATATCTCACCCCATTAGAAAGTAGAAGCATCCCTAACTAAATTGCCACCTAGTTCTCATGTAAGGCTAGAAACGCTACTGACCTTTGTGTGTATTTTATCTAATGCAAGATGTTTTTTTTGTTAAAATTTGTCAGAGACAAGCTTCGGAGTTCAAGAACAGCAGTGTCGGATGCAGATATATCAAGCGAGTTTACACTTGGGATACCTGGAGAACAATTCAAGTTTTCGCAATGCCAGAACCAAGTAGTTGTCAAAGAAGGTTCAGGTTTGACAGGTAAGTTAGAAGAGCTAGAGGAGTTTATTCGGCAGAATGTGTGAAAAGATGTTTGGGGTTCAAGCTTTCGCTATGCCAGTTTCTTATATGAAAAGATGGACAGAAACAGTGTCGTGTCGGTTGGGGGTTCAAAATTCTCATTTTTTCCTGACATTTCACAAACTTAAATGATATTAGTAGAAATTAATCTGTAGTTAGTTTATAGAGGTTTGCATTTTGGTCCTTCAGAGTTTTTAAAAATGCTACGAGTATGTGTGATTTTTCAAAAAAAAAAAAAGCCCAACGAGAGAGGTTCTCGAATCATGCATGAATATTGAAAAAACTTGGAGAACTTGTCTGTTTGAACTTGTTTACAGTCATAGTGTTTGTGAACTTTCTACAGACATACAATGGCGGTGTAGCAATACTACGTAACACTTTGACATGAGATGTCTTAGTAGGTATTATCGGTTAATTAGAAATCCGGTGACAATGACCGGATGTTCAAGAAAGATGGTTAGAGTGGTGGTCGTGTTGGTGGTTAGAGATTTTTGTCAATTTTCACAGACATACAATGTGTCTAAAGACATGAAACATCTGCCTAGACCAATAAAGATCTTGCATTTATATTGTGTTTAACATGGGGTGAAAGTTAGGGTATTTAAAGCAAAGCCCTTCCCCTAGTCAGTCCCTAATTATGTTCAGTTCAATGTACTAGTTGGTCCATAGGGACCCCAAGAATGTGTTCCTGTTTTTTACAATATAAAGTCATGTGTGGTGGCGGGTTTGATGGGAGTTTGACGGGGGTTGATGGGAGCACAATGATGTATGATGTGGAGTGACAAAAATGTGTTGTCGTGGGTGTGAAGAGAAGTGATTAGGTGTGAAGGTGTGATTTATTATGATGGGTTGAATTTGGAATGTATTAAAATTTGATTTGTTTTAGATGAATTTTTTTTAAAAAAAGATAAAAAAAGCGGGGCAACGATCGTGACCACGGTCAAGCTTGCTTCGTCATGCTACCGTCCCAAAAAATTGCTGCCAACTAAGCACTTTAGCTAAATACTCTCTTCATCCAAAAAAAGTTTGAAAATGCTGCAGTGAGGAAAGAAAGATTGTGAGATACTAAGTTTTTCAGGAAAGGAACAAGGATTTTTGTGTGGGACGTTTTAAAAAAGAAATAATGAGCCTATTTTGGGACAGATGGAGTATGTGATAATTTGTCAAAAAATCACCAAAATTAGGACAAAAACATATCCTTATCTCCAAAATAAACGGGACATGTTTTAATCTTCATAAGAGGACTATTGCATTGCGATAACGTGATGTTATTTTTAGTCTTTTGCGTTTCACAGTGTTTTGTACTCCTTCCATCTCATATTGTTTATCACATTTTGAACAACGTGCAAATATTATTTCTTTTAAAATTATTTTATTTACAATTTGGTAGAAAAATAAAAAGTATAAATTACACCGTTTAGAAGAACATAAAAAATTCTATAAAACAAGATGTAACAAAAATATTTTGTAATCAAATGGTCCCCGAAAAAAGTACATAAACAAAAGTTATCGAGAGAACGCAATAGTAACTGTGACATGGAAAGGAGAAAGTATTATATGTTTGGCATTGTTGGTCTTCTTTTGGAAAAAACACAAGGATTTTATTTTAATTTTTTTCCCCATACTTTTATTTTAGTCTTCTTATATTTTAGATGTTGGCAAAATAATTAACAAGTTTGAACTGACAATTAATAATTTTTTTTATAAAATTTGAAATGCCATATAACTTACTTTCTCCCAACACTTAAAATGCCTAACTCCTCATACTTCTTAACCGTCAAATCATCATTTAAATAGTTTGGAGTACCACTTGTTTATCTAAGTTGTTGAGTTGGCAAAGATAGAATAATGATATAAATTGTGCAATTTTGTTTTTTTCTTTGGAAATTTTAGGCTGAAGATCTATAAATAACATTGAGTAAGATCTATATTACTCCATCCGTTTTATAAAAGCGTTCCTATTTTGACTTTGTGTAAAAATAAGGAAGTGTTAAAAAATAAAAATTACATATCAAAATACTACATCAAAAGATCTACAAAACTAGTAGTCACAACAATATTTTATTTTATCAATTTACTAACGAAAATAGAGAAAGAAAGTGAATTAAGTTTGACCCTGTGAATAGTGAACAGACATTATAATTTGGGACGGAGGGAATAGTTAACTTCCAATTTTGCCCTTAATGTGATGGGTAAAAGTAAGATGTGATGGATTGAGTATTAGAGAAAAAGTATGATGTGATAGGTAGTGTATGAAAAAGTAAGGGTAAAAGTGTGTTTTTAATAGAAAGTGGAAATATTTTGTTGGAAGTAAAAAAAATGAAAAAGGAACAGTTTTTGAGAACGGATGGAGTATATGATAAACCTTAAAAACCTTTGTATTAATTATTGTAAACATCATAAGCTAGCTAAGAAGTTTGAAAAAACTGGAAAATAAAGAATTTAAAAAAATTGAAAAGAGTTTGAGAATGTTAGATAAATAAATATTAAAAAAGTGCTCAATTAAAAGACCACCAAAATAAATTTGTAAGTACCCTAATTTTAGATATAAAAACAGAATCATCTTTACCGTGTTTGAGGTGCTATATTTCAAATTTGAATAAATGATATTTTTGTATATTCATCATATGTAAATAAATTTTGAAATCATTACTAAGGAGTAGAATGTTATAACATTTCTACAAGACTTGATGTGATTTTAGTTATGAAATTTTAGAAAGATTTGTGTTAGCATCTTTAATTCAACGGTGAAAATTGTACTCCATATATTATTGATAAGTAATTTTAAATTTATAAGTTACTTACACAATATAAGTTAAATATTTTTTTGTTGAAGTAAAATGAATTAAATGAAAGACAAGCCATTTGATTATACTTACACAAGGTGATGATAATTTTTTAAATATCTAGTCAGAACGAAGTAGAAAAAATTGGGTAAAAAATCAGCAGGCAAGACATACTTTTCATCAACTGACTTATAAGTAAGCTTATAAAGCACAGAGAGACATGTCATCAGCTGACTTATAAGTTAAAAATGACGTATAAGTAGTTTGACCAGCTTATAAACATAGAGAAATATTCACAAATTTCTATTTTCTTTATCCCAATTTAAATTGTATATTTTAGTTTACAATGTTTGACTAAAAAAGATGTGACATAACAAAAATATTTCATCAAATGATAAAAAAACAGGGATACAATCTAAATAAAATTTTACCCTACGAATAATAAACAAACAACTTAATTTGGGATGGAAGTAATATATGTTTTAAAGATGTACTCCGGGTAGCACTTAAGGATAAACGGTATGGTATCGAAAAATTTCATTTGGTACCAAAGATTATCTAAGAGGAAAATTAGTACGGAGTATATAGGATAACACCACTCCTGTGCCTTAAGCACCAAAATATATCAATATGGTAGTCTACTACTCTACTGAAATGCCAAACATATTGGTCCCTCTCTTCTTCCTTGCTACCACCCTCCACGGTGGCGTGAGTATGGCAAAATACTACCCCTCACGCGCGTGACGAGCACGTGAGTAATTGTGGCGGGCACAACCCAAATGTGTTTATTTTTATCCGCACTCATCCGGCGTACGCCTTGTGTGACTTCGGTCAAAACTCAAAACACTTATCTCTCAGTTTTACTGCTTCAAGAGTTGGGTTGAGTGGGGACGTAAAACTAATCCAACACATGGTAATGTGGTATATCATTTAGATTTTAGAATGTAAATAAACATAAGCAAAGAAAGAGAAATACATTACAATCACAGCTCGTGTGCATTGCACAAAAATAGCGCGCGGTCTTTTTTTTTGCCCCCCCGTACGAGAAATCTGTTCTCGTGCTGCTACTGTCTCCGGTACAAGATTAAATTTTTTGAATGAGAAGTTGAAAAGCCTGCATTTTAATGGTCTAGACCGACTAGAGTGCTGCGTAACAACCCTCCATTTTTCCAGCAAGTCTCACATTTCTGAAGATGAAATCAGAAATGGTGTTCACTTGTTTTAGACAGATACCTAAAAGAGAAAGAGTATTGATACGGGCGGGAAAAAGGTTTGGAACCGAGTTCGGTATTGGGTACAAATTTACCATCACAATCCCTACGTACCGATAAATTCATACCCATTACCAAACTACTCCCTCCGTCCCAAAAAAATATTACTCCGAAACTAGTTTGACGGTGTTTAAAAGAAATATTTAAAAACGAAAAGTGTGATTAGAATTTGTTTGGATGAGAAAAAAAATCATATGAGCTACAAATTCATTAATTAAAAAGGAAAAATAGTGTACCCCGTGTATCTTTTTCATTTTTTTTTTCAAAATGGGAAAGGACTTAAGAACAAATATGAATGTCGCGTGACAATCAAATGTCAAATGTAGGAAACTAATGTTACCTCTACTTGCCGACAATGTAATCCAGAAGCCGCTTGTCAAGTTCAAAGTGCTTGCATAAAAGTTTCTGCAAATCAGAAGATTTTAAAGGAATTGGACTAAACAAAATATATGAGCATTTGAAACAATTCAATCTAAGCATTAAATGTAAGCTCATGAACCAATGATGCAACTAGTGAGTAGTAAAGACCACTTTTGTTCTATAAAAAAAGGTTGAACCCCTTCCCTAGGGTGGCAGGACAGTTATCTGGAGGTGGTAAATTGAGCTATAATCTTAGTCTGACAAATATGGAGTAGGATTGGCAAGGGCTTCATGCTATGTATGGTCCTCATTCATAACCCAAGCATTACCACCTTTTGCACCCCTTCTTTACCATCTAAACTATGCCCCCCTGGCAGGTTTGTTCTGATGTTTTAGGTGCCGTTTGTTGCACGTTTTGTATTTTGCAGCTTGCAACTCCAATTTGGAGCTGGATCAGTTACTTTTATCGTAGCGTTCCCCCTAAAGATACCCCTAACTTGTAGAAATACACATTTTCTTTCTTCCCCAAATATTCCCATGATTTTTTTCTCAACAATTGCCTGCCCTAACAGCAACATGTACAAACAGATCAAATGAAAGGCACCCGAGGTCAAATCAAATGTAAATGAAACAGTTGCAAGCGAATGGCTGGAATGGATAGTTTCAAGTTTCAACTATCACAAATGAGAGCGACAGATAAGAATGATATATAGGTTGCATATAAAGAGGAGCCAATCTATTATTCATTACCTTTGATATGATCTTGTTATTCATTACCAACAGTAACATCTCATATAAAGTGATTTTTTAATATCAGAGTGTTTGATCTTGTAAGAATAACAATGAGGCTATCATAATACCCAATAAGGACTTCTTGTAACAAAGTTTAGTGACCAAATCTCAGACCTCAAGAACCCCTTTTTACACCCTCTATTGCTGAAATAGATATTGCATTAGTTATAGACAATGAGTCAATAGATTGATGAGTAGCTCTCCAAATAATCTCAGAATCACAGAAAGGAACTTCAAAGAAATCTTAAATCAAGATCAATACCATAACCTGATGAACATAACAGAAGCATTGATTGCAAATCTATATTTCATTCTACAGGAAACTTTCCAGATTCCTATCTCCTATTACTAATTTATATTATTGTGTTTACTCTATCTAGAGGGTGTAGCCTACTAACACCACCTGTGATTCCTACTTTGTTTCCTATTGTATGTCTTGGCTTGAATCTTCCTGTTTTACTTTCCACCCATAAAATGTTTTCCTAGATTTGGAACGCGGCCCAAGGTTTCATTTCTTAACCAGTGGTATTGCCTCCTGCCCAACACTGCCTGCTACCATGATTTACCCGATCTCTACATGCCTTGGTCAAGCAGTGGAAATGAGCAGGTGAGTAATTTTGCCTCTTGGAACATAGATTGTAGGAAAATATATTTCAAAAGACGACCATCCAGTGGCAACATATCAACAAAGCCATAACATTTCCATCAACATGAGGTTTTCCGTGAAGTTCAAGACACAATTACGTAATATATTTACCATTCATCCAAAAAACCATAGAGAAAACAAAGATACGGAATATTACCTTTGTAATGGAAGAGCTGAAAACTGTTCCCTGAAAATCTAACTCAGGAAAACGTGTGACCTCAGTTCCATTCTCAAATAGTATATACAGTGGAAGTTGGTTCAAACGTGCTGCATGAATTATTAACAAAGACCTACATATGATTAACTTGTTGTATGTGCTGCATAAACTATAAACAATGATCTAAATATATATAGGGATTGACTCCAGTGAGATGACACCTTATGGTGCGATGACATGCTTCGGTCAGATGACGCAAAGCTCACCACTGCCCACTGCAAAGCTCACCAAGCACAACTACAAAGCTCACCAAACTGTAAGGCAAAGCTCACCATATTTTTTTCAACACTTTAATTTTTTTTGAAAAAATAAAATCAAAGGAAGGGGTGCTGACTAGACTTTGACCGTTGACTCCAGCATTGACCGCCGCCTGCCGCCGCCGCCTCCCGCCGGCCGCCGGTCTCCGCCGCCGCCGCCAGTCTCCGGTCGCCGCCGCCGCTGGTCAGCGCCGCTGCTCCGCTGCCTGCGGCCGCCGTTGACCGGTGGTTGACCAGTGTTGCTATTTTATTTTTAATTAATTTTTTAATTTTCAAAATTAAAAAAAAGGTGAGTTTTGGGGTTCAAAGTGGTGAGCTTTGCTTTATTTCCAGGTGAGCTTTGCATTGTCCATTGGTTAGCTTTGTAGTGTAGTGTGGTGAGCTTTGCGTCATCTGACCGAAGCATGTCATCGCACCGTAAGGTGTCATCTCACTGGAGTCAATCCCATATATATAAATATATATGTATGTATGTATGTATGTATGTATATGTGTGTATGTATGTATGTACATGTGTGTATGTATGTACGTACATGTGTGTGTGTGTGAGAGAGAGAGAGAGAATGTAGAACAATTCACTGGAGTCAATCCCATATATATAAATATATATATGTATGTATGTATGTATGTATGTATGTACGTACATGTGTGTCTGTGTGTGAGAGAGAGAGAGAGAGAATGTAGAACAATTCTCTTCCTATTTAAATTGAAATCCCATCAAGCCCAAATAATACCAAAATGTGTTCTTAGTTTCTCACCCAACGAGATTTCAAACTTTTCTGCAGCATTTGGGAAGAGACCAAGATCAACCACCCCAAATGATAAATTTTTGTTTGAATATCTGATGAAGAAAACATATAAAAAAAAACTAAGCAAATGAACAGCCAAGAGTTGAGCGGGATTCTATCCATTTCCTTCAATTAATATGGCCTTTGAGTTTGGGTGGGTGAGGGGGGGATTAAATAAAATTATGGGACCACATATCAATACTGTTTCATTGAATTCTCCAAAACTATAAAGTACGGAGTATTAAAAAACGGCAAGGTTCCCTTGACATTGACATTGGAAACCAATGTCATGGGATGACATCAAGCACCTATGGTGTGCGGGCAGTTAAATTGATGGTAACCCCCCTCCATTAGGAACCATCAATTAACGAATAAGGCACCATAGGTGCCCGATGTCATTCTATGACATTAGTTCCCAATGTCAAAGGAATCAAAGTCATTAAATAAATGAATACTAGAACTTTGTATCTTAACAGTCTATATGGCCTTTGAGTTTGGGTGTGCTTTTGTGTGTGTGTGGGGGGTGGGGGGGGGGGAGGGGGGGATTAATAAAAGTTGTAGGACCGCAGATCATCACTGTTTCATTTAATCCTTAAACGTATACCGCATAAAAAAATGAATATTAGAACTCCGTATGTTGACAGTTGAGAGATTTAAAAACAAAAAGCTAATCAATAACAAAATCTAGATATTGCACATGTTCTAACACTTACGTAATTGAGAGTTCAGGGAAAAACGAACTGGTACATATACAAGTCGATGTAGACAATGCGCGAAATTCTACCTGGCAAGGTATAAGGTATTGAAAAATCAGCCAAAGGGTTATATATGATAGAGCATGTGTTACTCGTTTTAAATGATCATGTAACTTGCGAGATGCATGCTATTTTATGTCAATTTGGATGATCCTACAATGATTTTTAATCAAGTGCAAAGAAGATATACTATAGGGTGTCATCAACTCAGGAATGGCAAGACCTACTTGTTCTTACCTAATGTTTAGAAAAACAGAAGAGGACAATCGAAACACCAAAATAGAGTGATTATTCAACTAAACCAGAAAAACCATAAGAAAAGGAAGTATTCATTTGGATACAATAGATGGCCAGATGGGAATAGCTGTTGCTCTAAAAAAGTTGTATGACTAGAAGTTTCTGCACACATGATGTACAAATTTATTGTGGCAGAAATTAAAACCACAAAAGGACTGCAAGAAGCACATAAATTCAACTAGTTGATAAAAATTATTTCTCCTGATCAACTTAAAGATGCATGTAGGGTGATGAATACTAATGCACAAGTATTCGACAAGATCTGAAATACTAATGCAAGGTTTACATTAGACACAACTTATTACATCTATTGAAAAAATAAGCACCAACATTCTCAAGACGGGGGTCTCTTGGAAACCTCTCTACTTTCAAGTAGGGGTAAGGTCTGCGTACACATACCCTTCGCAGACCCTACTTTACTTTTCCGGGATTATACTTGGCAGTTGTTGTAAGCGCCAACATGTAATACACGCACACCCTCTACCTCTCAATTGTTCTAAAAAATGGCATTTTTCCTCATTCAATCAAAAAAAAATCCATGATAAAGCCAAAGCCCTTGACACTAGTAATGAAAACTTGTTCCATTTTCTTTTTTTTATAAAAATGAATGGATTTTGAATATATATATATATATATATATATATATATATAGAGTGTGTGTGTGTGTGAGAGAGAGAGATGCTCTCTTGACACCCACTCTAAATGCTATAATAAGGCACCATCACTCCTCACCATTGGATCTCACTTAAAACAGGTCCAGATCTAATCATTCTTTTTTCCTTGTTAACCTATGACTCCCACAAAGCCAAAGACAAGTTTGAGATTTCTTCAACGCTACGGACGAGCTCTCTCCCTTTCAGCAATTTTTTCAACAACGCGTGCAAAGCTTTCTGACGCAATCTTTTTGCTTCGGAAAACCAGTTATGTTCAACTATAAATTTTAAGTTTTTGAAATTTTTATTTGATAGCTTTGATTAATGCATAATATTTGTTGATTTTAGCTTCTTGACTACGATTCTTATTCTCTTTTGGTAGCTTCGAATTTAAATTCTTGATTTTTAAAAATCCATCAGATTTTATAGTTTTGATTTTAGATTTTATGTCGAAATTAGGCCTTATTTTTAGGTATCCATAAGATTTTTATAGATTCGTTTCATGTCTGGAAGCTGGATTTTATGTCATTTGTCAATGATTATGCATCATCTCAGGTGGACTATTGTTGCCCTATAATGAAATTATAGTGAATTCTTTACAAACTGCACTGCATTTGATCAATGAGCCTTCTGTTTTAAAATTGAGTGAGTTGAACTTTCTAAATATAGTTGTTGCCTTTTGTGAATCATTTCTAACACCAACTAAGGTTGATCAGTGAAGATGAGTCTCGAAGAATTACACCCAAAGTTGGAATGACTTTCAATTTTGTTGGAGCATTTGAGGAATGCTACAAAGCATGTAATTTATTCAATGGATTTCATACAAGAAGACGAATCAACAAAGATAATAAGTACCTAAGGTGGGTTTATCAAAAAAGAAAATTTCAACACTAAAATCCAAACATGATGATGTGACCGGAAAGAAAAGAATAAAAGTCGCTTCTGTGAAAGTAGGTTGCCAACACACCCTTAGTTTGAAGAAAAAAGTGAAAAGTGGATTACATTGTCCTTCACGCCCAAACACAACCATGAGATGCCATGGTATCTCAATTGGAAAAGTGGTAGAGTTGGTTGGTAAAGACCATCTTAATAAGTGTAATTGGTCTCCTACAATCTCGTGTTAACAAACAAATTCTTCTACTCTTGTCCCTGCATTGATAGTCTCTCTAAAAAATTACTCCGTAGTTCATGTTATGGGCTTAGTGACTTGCTTGCATTGCATCAAAGTTATAAAAAAACATATTACGGAGTACTATTTAATACTCTCTTTGCTTGTAATTTATCTTCCAAGTTGACTTGGGGCCAAATTTTAGGCAAGTTAACAGATTTCATTGACTTTCCTAAACCACCATCTTACCACTCTATTCATATTTCGCACATATTTTCTCCATCTGCCATGTGTTCCCCTGCATTTCCTATATTTTACTACTTGAATTTGAACACGATAAACGTAAAACTTATATAGCCAATTAGCCATCTTGAAATTAAAAAAAACTTTTTTCACAAAATAGATGAGATTAGGAATTGTTAAAGCAACACATAATAGATCTGGGGTTGAAATGGGATTGGGTGGAGACTCGAGAGTAAAATGGGGTGGGTGGAAAACTACTTACAAGGGTAAACGAGACATTGAACACAAAATAATTAGCCAAATAATAATTTCTGGACAGAGTGGGTAAATGGCATGAAATGGCGAAAATTATCCACTTACTTTTGTTTGAAAGCCTATAAATGCTTAAAATACGTACTTACAAAGAATCTACCGCATATACAAGTATCTGCATTATTGCTCATCAAAGTGAAATCTAGACAATGCTTTGTGAATGACTACTTTAAACTTCCTTTTGAATTCTTTATTTTTTGTTGCAAGCCGGTAGAAGTTCCTCAAGTAACTTCTTAAGGGTATTCCAAATACCGAATATGTATCTATTAGTAGGAAAGACAGTCTTGATAGCCTTACACATGGTCATATATTGATTGATAATCATGGAAAGTAGCTTCAAGCTGCGTACAAAATAATCATTCATAGGTTTATTGTTGCTCATTGGAGAGTTCCAAGGGACTCCTCTTCACTAGTCACTTTAGTTGGTGTTGAAAATGATTGACATAAGACAACAAGATTTGGGGAGTTAATACCAAAACATAAGCTTCATTGATCGAATACAATGTTGTTTGTAGAAAATTTGCAAACAACTCCATTACAAAGCCATAACAATCTAGGTGAGATGATGCACAACAATTGATCAATAATAAAAACAACTTAATAGACGTAAAACCCAGGTTCTAGAAAAGAATTTATACTATAAAAGAGATGGATTTCTAAAAATCGGGCTTAAATTCAACATAAAATTAAGAAATTTCAAAATCAAATGGATTTCTAAAACTTAGGATTTCAAAATCAAAGCTACCAAATGAGAATAAGAATCATAATTAATAATAAGAATTGAAACTAAAATCAACAAATATCATGTATGAATCTAAACTACCAAATCAAAAACAGCAAAAACTACACAGATCTAAAGTCGAACCTACTTGGTTTCAAGAAGGATGAAAGTCGGGTCAGGAAGCTTCGCCCGCATCGTTGAAGAAATCACATATAGGTAGAGAGCTCCTCTATACCTTTGAAAAAATCTCACACTTGGATTCGACCTTCTAGGAGACGGAACCTAACTAGGAAAAAAATGACTTGATATAGACCATAGATGTGCTTTAACTGAGATCCAAGGGTGAGGAGTGATGATGCCATATTATGATACTAAGAGTCACAGAGTGGGTATCAATATTCAAAAGGATTCCGTTTAAAATAGAAAATATGATTCATTATACCAACCAACCAAAATCTTGAAGTGTTTCCTTCAGTAAGCAAAGCCTCCAAATGCAGCGGGGTTAATTGGATTGAATTGCCTAAATAAGTATATGTGATCAAAATAACAGGTGAGTCAATGTAATCATATTAGTAAATAAACTCAATACCATGTCAAACAATAACCTCGGAAACATAAAAAAACATATGATGTAACAACGAGATGCATAACCATACACAACTCCCATACCTAAACCTTCATACGGAGGCTGTTGTGTTAGAATATGTGTAACTGCAAGTTGAAAGAAAAAAAACATTAATACCAACAAATTGCAGGAAAATACATAGGCAGTTAGGCACAACCTCGTATGGCTATGCTTATTTCAAAATTCAAACGGAAATTCTAACATAGAAGGACGTCAATAGGTTATTCATCTAAGATTGACATATCCCAGTTTTCCCATACTAACACATGCATGAATGCCCATTTACTGTAGACCTATAGTCGTATTCATTTGTCCCAAAAAGCATATCTATTCTTATAAACATCGAATATGCTAAAAGTAGTCATTTTACTCGATTAAATGTACACGTACATAGAGCCAACTGAGCATTTATTTTTACCTAGTCTGTGAGTTTCTATATCATTAGATTCTAAAGAAGGAATATATACGCAGCAACCTGTATTTTATCAGGTTTCTTATAGGGACTGTACACATGATACGTGATAGTGTTTCAAGAAACCATCAATAATTATATACTAGTATCAGTTTGTGGGTAATTTGCCACTACACAAACCCTATTTTCCGATTTATGCAAACTCAATCATGCATTAAATAATTAAATATCTCAGTACAAGTAAAGATTTATAAAACCCCACAGAGAGGCAACAACAAACTAAAACTGCCACTTTATGTCAAATCATTCACATTTATTTTAAAAGAACAAATCAATGTACTTGTAAAGAGTAACCAAAGAGGACCCACCTATGAATACCAATGCGTACCAGAATGCCAAATGATAATCCATTACTAAAGCGAGTGCTGTAAGAAAAATCTGGAAATGATAGGCCGATTGCTAAGTTAGTGTTTTGAAGTGAACCACATCAAACTAAGATGCAAGGGAAACATCATAATATCATATCACTAGATGAATGTACTGGTAAAAGTTGGGGACAAATTTCTTGCAGCGGGAAAAAAATTAAAAATATAATACCTAGAGGATGGCAAAATCAGTGTTTTGTCAATTCTTTGCAAAAGAGAAAATCATCATCTATTCAATACTAAAGAGTTTTTATTTTTTATGTAACCTTAAAAAACGCAGATTGATCAGTTACTCATCTTGTGAATAATATGTTCATTCCATCTGTGCTTTTATACATGGAGGAAACAGTTCTAAGTTCTTATTTGTGGAGTATCCTTTTGAATCTTACTTTAATAACTATGTACAGTCACTTACTTGCTTGACGTAAAAGATAAGTGCATATAATCCGTTGGCATCCCTTCC